TGGGATTTGAACCCTGGCATTGGATATGTTCACTGTGTGGGCCCCAGCTTCCCCAGGTGCCCATGTTGCAGGGCAAGAAAACTTTCCCTGCACCGTGTCCTGTGAGCCTCCTGGCCACCTTTGGGGCAGGCACTTAATCCCTCCCTATAATTGGGTGAGGAGGAGGAGGAGCACGGAGGTGCGCCGGGCCCAAGGTCACCTCTGGGGAGGCCTGAAGCCTAGGCTCTGAGGATAGAGGAGCCAGACCCACCGTGAGAGTCCGACTCTGCCCTGGGGCAGACGTAGCAGCAAGGGAATGCACTTCCTGCTGTCCCCTGCCCCCTGGTCAGCCCCAGACAGACACTCTGATCCCTGCCCCAGACCCAAACCCCTAAACCAGGCCAGCAGACTCACCTGGCTCCCCCTTAGGCCCTGGAAGTCCATCGTGCCCATCCTTCCCTGGTGCCCCGGGCAGGCCGGGCATCCCTGGGATCCCGTAGCAGCCTGTGTTGGCTTGGCCCCTGAGGGGCAGCAGCAGCAGGAGCAGCAGCAGCTTCAGCCCAAGGTGGGGCAGGGAGCTGGGCCCCACGTCCATCCCGGAGAAGGAACTGGGAGGGAGAGAGCTGAGCTGTCCCCGCCAGCCCCTCACCTGCCCCCAACCCTCTCATTCCCCAGGACCCGTCCTCCTCAACCCTCAGGAGCTCGCTTTCCTGCCTCCCCCAGGAGCCTCACCATGGATGGATGGTGGGGCCTTTTCTTCAGCCCAGGCCCCGGGGCCCAGGCTTCCTTCCCCTCACACACCAAGTTGCCCCTGGCACCACGTTTCAGGAAGGTGGCAGAAGGTGGGGGAAATGGCCATCTGCCCATACCTGGGCAGGGGTCCAGGCCTCACCTGTGGGTGAGCGGTTTCTGGCCTGGTCACAGAGATGTCCTCAGATCTGCTTCCCCTCTCCCAGACAAGAGGACACGGTGTCAGAGTGGTCAGAGCAAGGATTGCCCAAAGCAGGGCTGGGCCCCCTCCCCTTCTCGTGCCCTCCCCCAATCCCACATCCCCTTTCCCAGAATTTTCCCTGACTTGACACTTTCTTTTGGGTGCTGAGCCAGACTGACCACAGCAATACCCCTGCCCACATCCCCTACCGGCAGTCAGTGTCCGAAATGAGGAACTGTCCCCTGCCCCAGCATCTGGCTGAGGGCGTGTGTGTGTGTGTGTGTGTGTGTGTGTAAACACAAGCCCCCAGGGCACAGACGTCCCCTAGCGTCAGGTTCATCCCATCTAATGACCAATGTTAGCATTTGCTGTGCCTGAGACTCAGTTTTCCCAGAATCCCTAGGAGGAAGTTATTATCCCCCTTTACAGATGAGGAAACTGAGGCTCAGGAGGACATACACCATTGCCCAAAGTCACACACTCAGTGGTCTCTTGGGGCCCAAAGCCTTGCTCTGACCCCTCTGCTCAGCTGCCTCCAGAAACAAGCCTCACATGCACTTGTCAAGTTGCAAGCCTTGTTCTAGAAACTTCCATGTGCCCCATCCCAGTGGCCACACTTGGAGGTGGACCCCCAGGATGGATGCTTTGGCGGCAGGCAGCTGTTATGGTGCACGGGCTGCCCCAGCGACAGAGTCAGGGCCCTGGCTTCTCCTTCCAGCCCTGTCACTCCATGGACCAGATGCCTTCAGCAGATCACAGGTCCCTCTGGCCTCCCTTCTGTCTACTGGGGGGGCCTTGGCTTTCAGTATTGGTGCCTCTTCCATTGCTGGGGGCTCCTGGTCTTCCCTGATGGTTCCATCTTCCCTGCTAGCACCACCCTCCTCGCCTGCTTCCTGGGCATGCCCTGCCTCTGGGCTTGGAGCCCACCATGGCTGGTGAGGGGCTCCCCATCAGGACCAGGCCAGCAGAGCTGAGAGGCCCTCTCCCCTCTCCCTCTTCTCCTCACGTGAGATTCTAGGGATGAAGGGGCTGTCAGGCAGTAGCAGGGCTTCAGCCTCTACCCCATACCTGCCACCTGTGTCCATTGGTTCCCCCTCTGTAACATGGGGGCTTCTGACAGCTCCAGGCCAGTGGCTGGGATTCGGTGCACAACACACGTGCGATGCCTTGTCCCGTGCCAGGCATGGGCAGGTGTTCAGAGCTCTGCCCCTGCCTCGCTGAGGAACCCTCAGGGTCTCAGTCTCCCTTTCTGTGTCTCCACCCTGTGCTGTGGGGCTGCAGAGAGTGTGGGGTGAGTTAAGGGACACGAACGCACTTGGCCTTAGGAGTCCCTGGCGGGTGGAAGCCTGGGATGAGAATAAATGATGGACACATGCATTAAGAGGCTGGGGGCCACCCAGCCTGACGGCACTGGGCGCCTGTCTTCCCTCTTCACCTCCTCTGCGCCTGGGTCTGGCTTGTCCAGCAGGTGGCAGCCTCGGCCCACACTCAGCCCTCCCGTGCCCCGCCCACTTGGCCCTGCTCTGGGCTGCTCCAGTTCATTCCCCTCCTGGAGGGGCCAGAGATTTTGCATTGGTGTAGTGGGTGGATGGTGGGGTATGGGTAGGATTTAGGATAAGGGGGTGGTCGGGCACTCCCTGCACGTCCCGTTTATCTAGTTTGGCCTCTACTGCCGCTGATGGGGCCTCCACCCCTGGCATTTTCTTTGCATGCCCTAACCCTGTGGGGTCAGGCAGCCGTGGTTCAGCCCCAGGGCCCTTCCCCTTTCTGGCTGTGTGTCCTTGGGTAGATGTCCGCTGTCTCTGAGCCTCAGTGTCCACATCGATTTTGCTGGGATTAAATACATCAGTGGCCGTGGAATGCCCAGCACATAGGTGCCTGAAGACCCGTCTCTTTTCCTGGTGCTGGTTAAACAGTGTGTGTTCTGAGTGGGCGAGGCGGGGGGAGAGCAGGGCCGAGCTGACTCCGGACGGGAGCTGAGGGGTTACCCTGAGGCTGTGGATGGAGGGTTCGCCCTCTCCCTGGGCCCTCCTCACTTCTTCCCGACCCCCAAAGGCTGTTGGCAGAGCAGGGACAGTCCGAGGAGAAGGTCTTGTATTTTAGAGGTGGATACTCAGGTTGTGCACTCGAGGACCGCGAGGCCATTTGTGTGTCAAGTGGTGGATGGGAGGGACAGCCCTGTATTTCTGAGGCTGGCCCTGTGAGAGTTTGAGCGTGTGTGTAGGGAGGTCCGTGTGGGAAAGAACGCAGGCATTCTGAGGCTCATGCACGCTGGAGTGAGGAGGATGTGTGTGCCTGGGTGTCAGGAGTGTGTCTGGGACACCTGCGGAAGACAGAGAGAACATGCGATAGTTCATGGATGTTACTTGTATGTCTGAGGCAGGGGCTGTGTGCTATGATGGCTCGTGCCTCCCTGAGTGTGTCTGTGGGTGTGAAGGCGTAACTGGTGTGTGTGTGTGTGTGTGTGTGTGTATGTGTGTGTGCAGCACAAAGATAAACCCAGCTTCCTTTGAGAAACTGCGTAGGGCATTGGACATTTTCAGATCTGAACTCCTGGCCTCCTTATTTCTCCCGCGTTCGAGGGACAGGATGGGATTTGCTGCTTTGTAGTAGCTTCCAGAGAGACAAGTAGGAGCCTGGAATGCACTGTGAGCATTCAAGACTCTCCCAGCCCCCAGCCCGGGCGGAATGTCCAGCAGGCAGCAGAGGCAGCAGCCCCAGTCTCCACACCTGCCGGGTGGAAGCCCAGGGCTGGACTTAGGAAACCTAGCTTCAGGAAGCACTGCTGAGCGCCCTTGGGCCAATTGCTTCCCCTCTCTGATTCCTGCCCCTGCCTTCCCAATACAGGGTTGGAAAAGCACCTGTGTGATGCGTCAAGTGCTTCATAGAAGCCGGGGAGGCTGGTGAGGGTAGTGGTTAAACACAGGCTTGGGCATCAGTAAGACTTGGGTTCAAATCTCAGCTCCTTCCCACCCCCCCAACTTTTTTTTTTTTTTTTTTTTTGAGAGATGGAGTCTTGCTCTGTCACCTAGGCTGGAGTGCAGCGGCACGATCTCAGATCACTATAACTTCTGCCTCCCTGATTCAAGCAATTCTCCTGCCTCAGCTTCCCAAGTAGCTGCGCCACTACAGGTGTGTGCCACCACGCCCAGCTAATCTTTGTATTTTTAGTAGAGACGGGGTTTCACTATATGTTGGCCAGCCTGGTCTTGAACTCCTGACCTCAAGTGATCTGCCTGCCTTGGCCTCCCAAAGTGTTGGGATTACAGGCGTGAGCCACCGTGACTGGCCCCCAGATCCTCCCCTTAGATGCTGATTTGCTGATTGATGCCTACTCCTTGCAGCCTCAGTTTCATCATCTGTAATGTAGGGCCAGCATACCATACCCAGAGCTTGATCATAAAGATTAAATAAAATATAATAATAGCAAAACTTCCATAGTCCTTATTATAAACCGAGCACTGCTCTACAATTTTCATGTATTAAGTTATTTAATCCTCCCAATGACCCTTTGAGGTAGGCGCTATCATCAGTCCCACTTTCCTCAGATAAGGAAACTGAGATTTCAGAGCTTGTTAACATGCACATGATTAGACATCTAATAAGTGGTGGCATCAGGATTCAAACCTGGGTAGATGAGGCTGCTAGGACCTGCTAAACACATTGTGTGAAATACTAAGAATGGGCTGGGCGTGGTGGCACACACCTCTAATCCTAGCACTTTGGGAGGCCGAGGCTGGCAGATCACTTGAGGTCAGGAGTTCGAGACCAGCCTGGCCAACATGGTGAAACCCCTTCTCTACTAAAAATACAGAAACTTCACCGGGCATGGTGGCAGCTGCCTGTAATCCCACTTACTTGGGAGGCTGGGGCAGGAGAGTCGCTTGAACCAGGGAGGCGGAGGTTGCAGTGACCAAAGATCACGCCATTGCACTCCAGCCTGGGTGACAAGAGCGAAACTCCATCTCAAATAATAATAATAATAATAATAATAATAATAATAATAATGAGAGGCCTGCTTCTTAAGCACTGGATCGTTATCATTCTTAGGCCTCCCTCTCAATGCCCCGAGTAGCAACTGAAGCTCAAGTTCGGCAGACACAGACACAGATGTTTATTCCAGGAAGAGTTCTAAGAAACGAGCTGTCTTAGAGCATGTGTCACGGGGGCAGCCAGTCCTGGGGCTCTCGGAGCCAGCCCCCTCCCTTCAGCAGCTGAAACAACAGCGCCCCCATTTTACAAAGCGGAGCATGGAAGCCAGAGAGGTGGGTGGGGGAGGGGTCCTTCCCGGGCTCAGGTGGACGGGAAGATGAGGAAGCCGCTGAAGACGCTGTCAGCCTCAAGACCTTGGTAAATGTTACCCTTTCTGGGGTCTTTTTCGACCCAGACCTGGTCACCCCGCTGCAGCTGAAGCACCATGCCCCCTGACACCACCTGGAAGAGCCCCTTGTTGGTGGTGTCACAGAAGCCCAGGGAGCGTCTGACCTGGCCCCTTGAGGAGGAGACAATGGACAGGCAGATCTCCCGCTCGGACACCACCTGGAAGGTGAAGTAGTAGTAGCCGGGTACAGTACAGACGAATCGGCCTGAGTGGTTCTGGTACGGCTCTTCCTGGTTGGTGATGACCATGTCAAAGATGACCACGTTGCCCCCCATCGGTGGGTTCCGCCGAATGGCCGAGAAGGCCGGCCGCGGCTGGTCCTTGATGTTTCCTGGGTTGCCCTTGATACCTTTAATTCCTGGGATGCCACGGTCCCCAAGGGGGCCACTGGGCCCTGGGTAGCCCACCTTGCCGGGGTTTCCAGAGGGCCCGGGTTCCCCCTGGTCTCCTTTAAGGCCTTGGATGCCTGTCCTGATGCCAGGGGCCCCTGTGGGGAGAAATGCCAGATTGGGAGTCAGAATCCAATGCCTACCAGTCCTCAGGGAGAGAGCTGGACCCCCTGAGTCTATGGGATAAAGGGCAAGGAAGCACCTGGGCCTTCAGGACATCGATTCTGACTAGCTGTGTGACTTTGGGCAAGCATCTCAACCTCTCTGAGCCTCCGCTTCATCTGTAAAGTGGAGAGAAGTGTGAACAGGCACTTGGGAAAATGTCAGGTTCTGGGAAATGCATGGCACTCTGGCTGCTCTGCTGTGCTCCTGCCCAAGGCTGAGGACTCCATACCCCTCTGGAGGGCACTGACCTTGACTTCTTCAGGTTCGGGGACCACATGTAGGATGCCCGGATGCAAATTATTGCAAATGTCTATGTGATCCTTCTGGTCTGCTCTGGACTAGGAGGCCTAGGGGGATTCCATGAGACTCCCTTTCCACTTTGGTCAGGACCTCCTCCCTTTTCCATCACCCCCGGCCTTTCTTCTAGAATGTGAGAGTTTCTGAAGCCTAGAGGTGCTGGGGAGGGGGAAGCAGGGACCGTGTTGGGGGTGCTGGAAGGAAGCGAAGGGTCAGTTGCAGTTATTTGATCCCTCTCTCTGTGCCAGGCAGCGTTATTTCTCCATTTTACAGATGAGGCCACATAGGCTCAAAGAGGGCCGATAATTTGCTTGAGGTCACACAGCAAGGCAGTGGCTCCTGAGTCTAAACTCTGGGTCCTCGTTTTTCTGTTAAGAGAACTGTGAGCAAGCACTCAGCATTGCTGCCAGAACTTTCACATTCACTGCTCAAAGGGAGCAGAGGGAGTCATTCTCCAGAGGGTGAAGGTGAAGCTGAAGAAAGAGGACCCAGGCAGTAAAGGGGGAGTGGAGAGGCCTGAGGACATGGCCTAGGGAGAAGGCTAGGCCTCCCTTAGCCCCTGGGGCCAAGTGCAAACTGGAGAGGATTCATGGGGCATTGGGGGCAGACGGGCTCTTGATTCTCAGTGTCACCCCAAGCCTTCGCTCTGGAGGCCAGGCCAGGCCAATGTCCAAGGGGCTAGGTCCTGAGGGAGAGTGCTTACCAGGCTCCCCTCGCTCCCCCTTGAGGCCTGGCCGCCCCGGTCTGCCGGGTCTTCCTGCCACCCCGTTCTTCCCGTCTGGTGCTCGGCACACATTCTGGGTCACGATAGAGGCCAGCGATATGGCCAGCACACAGACCACCAGCCATCCCTGGGGGCCTTCCATGTTGTCCCTGTGGAGACACGGGAGGGCCTGGACAGGCTGGACATCACACTCACACCCAGCTCACACCCTTGAGTCCCATGCACACAATGATATATGCACAGACCTCCCCCAGTGCACATGCACCCTCCGGGGCTCTCAATGTCCACTCTCAATCCAGCGCCAGGGACCCCACACATATACACAGAACCACAAACTCACACACATCCACACATGTAACCAAGCACACCCACATCATCACACATTCACACAAACACAGTCTCTCATACATGTACCTACAAAACACAGTAGGCAAACTTGGAAATCCACTAAACCCCCCTAGACACACAACTGATACCCAAATAGACTCTGTCCCTCACTCACATGGACACACCATTCATACACTCCCACAGGTGATCGATTTCATTGAACAAATGTGTATTGAGCGCCTGCTCCTTGTTTAATTAACACTGGCTCACCCAGATGGTGAAGCTGTGCATACGCACAGGAATTCACAAACGCTCAACACCACACCTGCTCACTCTTCTGCATGCTCCGCGCCTTTCAGTATCCACCTGAGCACGGGAGGCTGGCTGCCCCCACAGTCCCCTCTGCTGGGTCCCACTGCCAGCTCTGGCACCCCAGGCTTTTCCTTCTTTGTGTTGGGGGGCCAGGACCCACGAACCCTGGTCTTACATTCAGTTGCTGGGTCTAACTCATCGCCTTTCACCCTCCCTCAAGCCCCGGCTCAAGGAGTTAAGTTCCCTCCACTCACCCATTCTGGGTTCCTGATCAGCACTGCACTCCCATCCCTATCCTAGAATCAGCCACAGTTATTTCCCTCCCTCCCTGCCTCAGTTGCCCAGCCTACTGGGCCAGCTCCCCTGGGTCCCGGAACTCCGCAGCCCCCTCCCTCTGGGACTCTGGCCTCACCTGCCTCCCGTTGTCAACTCCAACTGGATGCTCCTGCCCTCTGCCCGGGGACCCTGTGGGCTGCCCAGCAGGAGTGGCGCCAGGCTGTGGCCAAGTTTCACATCCCTTCCCACTTCCCCTTCTCCAGACCTGCCCCCCTGAACTTCCCCAGGGGCCAGAAGCTCACCAGGGACATTTTGAGCAGACTTCAGCAAGACATTGGATGTCCTGCCCCAGCAACAGCTGGTGTGGGGGTGGGGGCAGTGAGGCCAGTGCCTGTGAGGACATGGGGTGGAGGCCGTGCAGGATGAGGCTCTGAGAACCAGAGAAGCACAGAACACCAGAGCGGAAGGAATCTTTAAAAAAATCTGTCCCTTATAGGACTTTTCATGATTATGAAAGTGACACGCAGTTCATTGCCAAAAGCTTGGAAAATACAAAGAAGAAAGAACAGTGCATTGGTGAGAAGGAAGCACAGCAATCTGTTTCTAGACTTGCTGCTTCCTAGTTGCATGTCTTTGGGAAATTACTTGACGTCCTGGGCTCTCAGTGTTGTCTGTACATTGGGAACGAGGTTCTATGTCATCTGATTACTGTAACATTTTAATGACCTACACATACAAAACACTTGGCACATGGTGAACACTTAACCACTAACTTTTGCCAACATTTGAAAAAACAACAAGTCTGGATGCTTTGGCTTGCGCCTGTAATCCCAGCATTTTGGGAGGCCAAGGCAAGCAGATCACTTGAGGTCAGTAGATCGAGACCAGCTGGCCAACATTGTGAAACTCCATCTCTACTAAAAATTAAAAAAATAGCCAGGTGTGGTAGCATGCACCTGTGTAATCCCAGCTATTAGGGAGGCTGAGCTGGGAGGATTGCTTGAGCCCAGGAGGTTGAGGCTGCAGTGAGCTTTGATCTTACCACTGCATTCCTGCCTGAGAGACAGAGCAAGACCCCATCTCAAAAAAAAAAAAAAAAAAAAAAGAGATGGCAATGGCAGGCCATCTGGAATGGCTGCTGTCATCACACTGGCTGTGGTAGGGAGGCACGGCCAGGGCTGCATGCTCCGTATAGCCAGTGGGAGCTGGGGACAGTGGGAACCCTACCCTCCTGGGCACCACTGCAGCTGCCAAACCACTGCTGAAGACCCAGGCCTCCTGCTCCATGGAGCAGGCGGGGGCCCCCGCCACCCCCCATGCAGCTGCAGCTGCCTAAACTGTAGCTGTGGACCCAGGCATCCCTGCACTGTTGGGGGCCCAGGAAGGCCCCCCACCAACCCTTGCAGGCTCAGAAGTGCCTGCTCCCACTGCCTGGCTTCTCCCTGCTCTTGGCGCCCACTCTGATCTTGGAGCAAAGCTGGTGCTGAGCCTGGGTGCTGTTGCAGCCTGGCTGGGTGTGTGCATGCTCTGGGAAGTGCTAACACACTAGCCCCCTGCTGCCTTGGCCCCCTCCGGACTTTGGGCACTGACTAGCATGGAAGGAAAGCCAAGGGGAAACTGAGGGCAGCTCAGTGCTGACCTGCAGGTGCCCTTTGGCATGAACAGCCTGGGCACCATGAACAGTAGCAGGAGACAGACAGGCTCCTGGGGGAAGGGGATGGGTCCCTGGTGAGGCCAGGGAAGGCCTGAAGGCTGGGGGCCAGGCTGCCAGTCCCACAGTCCAGAGTGGGAACTTGTGGTATCTTTTCTGGGCTTGCCTATGGCCACCCATGGACCAATCAGTATGCACTTCCTCCCCTCTGAAGCCCGTGAAAGCTTCAGGCTCAGCCAGAGCTGAGCAGACATTGGGATGACCAGCTGCTGAGAGGAGCTACCCGCTCCAGGGCCTCCTCTCTGCTGACAGCTGCAGAGACGGCAGAACAACGTGTCTGCAGAGAGGAGCTTCCCACTCCAGGGTCTTCCCTCTTCTGAGAGCTGGGAAGTCGACAGGTTGACCTGCCTGCAGAGAGGAGCTTCCCATTCCAGGTCTCCTCTCTGCTGGGAGCTGAACACTCGTCAGGACACCCTGGCTGTGGAAAGGAGCTGTTCCCTGAGGGAGGCCTGCAGGAGGCTGCGCTGTTCTATCGCTCAATAAAGCTCCTCTTCGTCTTGCTCACTCTCCACTTGTCTGCATACCTCATTCTTCCCGTTTGCAGGATAAGAACTTGGGACCCATCAAATGGTGGGGCTGAAAGAGCTGTGACACAAACAGGGCTGCAACATGCCCCTTGCTTGCCACGGTGTGAGTGAAGAGAAGGAGAGAAGAGCTGCAGCCCTTCGGGGAACCCAGACCTGGGAGCTCCCCAAGCCAGGGCTGTGACTCCCTTTTTGGGGCCCCGTGGTTCCTGGCATCTCCAAGCTTCTGGGTGCCACCGTGTTCCCTGGTGCCAGCCATGGAAGCTGCTTGTGGTGTACCTGGTTTAGCCACAACCTCTCAGAGAGCTGGTGCCCATACTGGCACCTGGAGCTGTTCACCCCACTGCAGCAGCCGGCATGTCTGACTGTGTGCAGTGGCCAGACCCCACGTTCACTCACACACCCCTCACTGTTCCATCCCTGACTTGCCCTGGGCAGATGTGCAACCCAGGCTGGTAACGTGAGCTGGGTGCAGCCTGCCAGGTGGAGTGAGTGAAATGAGCCCAGTGGGCCTGAGCAAAACTTGGGCAAAGGTGCCACCAGTCACAGAGGTTTCCAGCCAGAAAAATGACACCCCAAAGATCCCGTAACACCATCTCAAAAAAAACAAAAAACAAAATCCAGCAGTGAAAACCTGTGAATTCTACGATATAGAGATAATTGCTGCTAATGTTTGAATGGATCATCTAGCCTCACTCATATTAACTGACAGGGTGCTCATTACCTGTCTGAACAGCACACTGCTTCATTGTTGGCTTGGACTTTGAGAATGCTTTTTTTTAGATAGAGAGACTCTGTCTCTCCCAGACTGGAGACAAATGTGTTCAGGCCTGGGCTGACCACATCTGTCTGCTTCTTCTCATGAGTATGTTTTTGTTTGTTGGTTTGTTTGTTTATTTATTTGTTTTCTGAGAATTTTGCCAGAGGCAGGAGGAGGAAAAGAGGAGGAGAGAGGAGATAAGGGAAAGCTGTTGTAAGTGGGCAGATGAAGGGTTTTCCAGCTTTGGGGACTTCTTTTTCATTTGCAATCTTATGTGGCATCTGATGTATGTTAAACAAATAAAAATGGGGATACTGGGCCAGGTGCCGTGGCTCAAGCCTGTAATCCCAGCACTTTGTGAGGCCGAGGCGGGCAGATCACGAAGTCAGGAGATTGAGACCATCCTGGTGAACATGGTGAAACCCCGTCTCTACTAAAACTACAAAAAAATTACCTGGGCATGGTGGTGGGCGCCTGTAGTCCCAGCTACTCAGGAGGTTGGGGAAGGAGAATGGTGTGAACCTGAGAGGCGGAGCTCGCAGTGAGCCGAGATTGTGCCACTGCACTCTAGCCTGGGTGATAGAGCAAGACTCTGTCTCAAAACAAAACAAAACAAAAACTGGGGATACTGGGTTGAAGGGTGGGGGCCCAGAGCTCCTCCTGACAGCCCCTCCCATGCTCCCTGGATTCAGAAAGTTCATAGAGCTGGAATCTCACCTGCTCGGCCCATACCTAACTCACAGTGTGACCCTGGGCAAGTTATCTCATCTTTCTGAACCCCACTTTCTCCAGCTACCAAGATGAGGGAGTGGGTGGGAGGTGGGAAGACTGCCCAAATGATCTCTAGTATCCCTTGCAGTATCCATCTTCCTCTTCTTTTTTTTTTTTTTTTTTTTTTTGAGACAGAGTCTCACAGGCTGGAGTGCAGTGGCTCGATCTCGGCTCACTGCAACCTCTGCCTCCTGGGTTCAAGAGATTCTCCTGCCTCAGTCTTCTGAGTAGCTGGGATCACAGGTGTGCATGCACCACCATGCCTGGCTAATTTTTGTATTTTTAGTAGAGACGGGGTTTTGCCATGTTGCCCAGGCTGGTCTCGAACTCCTGACCTCAGGTGATCCTCCCATCTCGGCCTCCCAAAGTGCTGGGATTACAGATGTGAGCCACCACACCTGGCCCAGTATCCATCTTCTTTGACTCCATTGCGTCAGCCTCGCTTGTCTGCCAGAGGAGTTAGAAACGTGACACGCCCGAGCCGGAAACACCAGCCTCATGTGCCCTATTTTACTCTAAAGACACAAAGGACCGGAGACAAAAAAAGACTTGCCCAGGGTCACACAGACAGGGGCGAGCTGGCAAGAGGATACTGTGAAAAGCTTCTTGAAGTGTCGTTTTCAAAATATGGAATACCCAGTTCCTATAGAAATACAGTGTGGGAATGTGTCAGTGTCTTCTTGTAGGTTGTTAATGGAGGAACCAGCTGGGTGACAAAGCTAGTTCAATGGATATGGAAAAAAAAATATGTATACCTGTATATGGAAAGAGAGAGAGAGTCAGTTAAAACAATAAGAATTCTGGAATATTCATAAGATTGCTAAATTAGATACAAAACTGGTTAATGTTCTATAGGGCAGTACAATCAACATGTCGGGGCTATCTTCTCTATGGAAAAGAAATCATTTGCATCTCTACCAGACAAAAATAATTTGCAACTTATCAGTTTTCTACCAGTTAACAGCTATCTTTACTGAATCTGGGCTCTAATCAATAGTAAATAATAAGTCAAGTCAAGTGACATTCCCCTAGAGTGTCAGATGACCCTTAGGAGGGCTTGTTAGATACAGCTCTCATTTGACTTTGAAAGGACACCGGTTATCTATTTGCCTTATTTCCAAGTGTTGGATGATTTTACTTATCAGGCTGTTGCAAGAGTATAAACACTTCCCAAGAAATAAAAGACATCGATACAAATGTACATATCATTAGTGTGAGAAGTGAAAGGGTCAGCAATGGCCCTGTGCATGTCACAACAGGGACACCTTCAGGCGGAGAGGAAGGGCACATTGTTCCATTTCTCCAGAGCCCAGACTCCTAGACGGGAGGCAGATGTGGGGAAGAGAGGAGATTCCTAGCCATGCTTGCACCGTCATGATCCATGAGGTTCAGTCTCAGAGTGGGGTCAAAGGTCAAATAAATAACCAAAAAACAATTTTTAAATGACTGGAATTCTTTATGGCGGAGTCACATCCCATTCAAGAGTTGGGTTGCAAAATCAGCACACGAGGCAAACATTGTAAATGGTGGAAAAATACCTTCGAACAGCGTCACGTGAAAGACTGTATTACCGTTTCACAATGGACTTTTGCTGTCAGTTTTGGCTCCAACAGTAGAACAGATTTCTTGTTCTTCAGTTGAGTACCAGTTGGTTAAGATTAACCAACTTCCCTATCACTCACACACAAAGGAATTGAATCTTCGGAGACTGGAGCCACCCTCGGAGGTGAGGTGTTTAGATTGTGAGGGGTTCACAGGAGCTGAGGCAGACTTGGGGACAGCAGACCTCTCCCAGCCATGGTTCTTCCAGAAATAGGCTCTTAGAAGACAATATCCCCTGGCTGGGCATGGTGGATCATGCCTGTAATCCCAGCACTGTGGGAGGTCGAGCAGGGTGGATCACCTGAGGTTGGGAGTTCGAGACCAGCATGACCAACGTGGAGAAACTCTGTCTCTACTGAAAATACAAAATTAGCCGGGCGTGGTGGCACATGCCTGTAATCCCAGCTACTTAGGAGGCTGAGGCAGGAGAATTGCTTGAACCCGGGAGGTGGAGGTTGCAGTGAGCCAAGATAGTGCCATGCACTCTTGTCTAGGCAACAAGAGTGAAACTCCGTCTCAAAACAAAAACAAAAACAAAAACAAAAACCTGCCTCACTTAAATTGCAATTTCTAGTTGTTTCTCTCTTGGAGTCCTATTAGGCAAAGTGGAGATACTCAAGTGTGTATATAATGTGACTCTGAGGTTCTTGTATATTTCTTTTAAAAAATGAGGCGTAATTTGCACAGAGTAAAATGTGCACATCTCAAGCACACAGCTCAGTGGCTTACACCTGCACGCACAGGCCCTCTACCACCACTCGGATCAGAGTGCGGAGTATCCATCTCCCCAGCAAGGCGGCCGTGCCCCTCCGAGTCAACAGTGCTCCCCTCCACCCACACAATAACTGGTGTTCTGCTCTCCCTCACCATTGGTGCCTTCTGCCTGTTCTTGAACTTCGTGTCAATGGAATCAAGCAGCCTGTGCTCTTTTGTGTCTGGCTTCTTTTGATGAACATGCCAGTGAGATGCATCTGTGTTACCGTGTGTCAGTTTGCGTGGTATTGCTGAGTGCTATTCCATTGCACACGCAGTATCACACTTTGTCTATCCCTTCTATTGGTGTGGAGTTTGGGCTATGATGAATAAAGCTGCTAAGAACATTCTTGTGCAAATCCTCTGCTCCACCCAGCCCTGTGAACAGATACACTCACTTCTCTGCTGTACGTTTGAACACCAAGAAGGATGCGTAGAGTTGACACCAGTGCTCTTTGCTCTCTTCCATCCACTCCTCCAGACATCTGTCTCCAACTTCCTGTCTCCACCAAAAAAATAAAAATCTCCCGGCCCTTCTACCCAGAGCCACTGTTCCTCCTTCTCCCCCACTCTCCTGCTCTCTGTTCTTTATTATGGAGATTGTCTTAGTCTGGCCTTTCTTGCAAAATCCTCCTTCTGGGCCTTTTGGGGTCTAACCTTCCATTATCTGTCCCCACCACCCAATAAGATCAGGGTTCCATTAGCAAGTGGTTGGGGGAGGCGTTTGGAATTGGGGAGGGAGCTGTTGTGCGAGAGAACGGCCATGCGTTTGTGCACACTCTTTATTCTTCACTTTTCTTGGCAGATAAAAGCACTTCTTGGATTATTTTATGAAACGCAGAGGGGATTGTAAACAGCAAATCAGTTACTGTGGAGATGGAGGCAGCGTGTGTTCAAATACAGTGTCTGTGTCTCTTTGGCTGTGTGATCTTGCACGAGTAACCTCCTGTGTCTGGGGCTCTAACACGTCACCTGTAAACTGGGAATGATGACCTCAAACTACGCGAGGCTTCCAGGCAGCAGTGCGGCTGGTCTCTGGCACACAGTAGGTGCTTAACACAATGTCTTACCTCCTCCTACTCTCACCTGGCACTCAGAGGGCCGGTGCATGAAAGAAAATGTGAAAAAAAAAAAAGACAAAAAAGATTTATTGCGGGGGAGAGTGAAGAAAAATAGGAAGAAATAAAGCCCCCCCAGATGGAAGCCAGCACCCTGAATGCCCACGAGGGAGGCAGCCCAGCCTGGAGGGAAACTGGGCGGAGCTGCTCTGGAGACGTTCTTCACAGGCAAATACAGCCAGAAGCCACCAGGCAGGTAAGATGTAAAAAGATTAAGAGGATTAAGAGAGAATTTGGAAAACAAACAGATCAGGCTGTGGGAGCCAATAAGGAGGTATTACCTCCACCTTGTGAGGGCTGGGCCTGACATCGAGGTTGCTGGGAGATGCTAGCTTCCAAGGAGCTCACATAGGCACGAGGGTCACAAGAGAGCAGCTAGGGAGAGCCCGGAGTACAAATGATCTCCACCATCTGCCCATCACAGGACCTGAAATTCCTCCTGTGAGGCATTATTTCCACAGGGTAAGCATTGTCCTCTCTGGGGTGTTTTGAGGTTGATGCTGCACCGTGGTGTGCTTGCAAGATGTTAACAGGCTCTTCCTTGTGAGCCCTACTGAATAATGCTGGACTTCCTACTGGGTGCTTAATACATGACCTCACTTCATCATCAGAATCCCCGGGGAGGTGGCATGGTGACAACCCCTTTTACGGATGAAGTAACTGAGGTTCAGAGAGGGTAAGTGACTCACACAAGGTCACACAGACTGTAAATGGAATAGTTCTTTCTTTCTTTCTTTCTTTCTTTCTTTTTTTTTTGGCATGGAGTCTCTCTCTGTCGCCCAGGCTGGAGTGCAGTGGCGTAGTCTCAGTTCACTGCAACCTCCGCCTCCTGTGATCAAGTGATTTGGGTGCCTCAGCCTCCCGAGCAGCTGGGATTACAGGCTCATACCACCACACCTGGCTTTTTTTGTTTTGTTTTGAGATGAATTCTTGCTCTGTTGCCAGACTGAACTGCAGTGGCACGATCTCAGCTCACTGCAACCTCTGCCTCCTGCATTTAAGCAATTCTTCTACTTCAGCCTCCCAAGTAGCTAGGACTACAGGTGTGCACCACCACACCTGGCTAATTTTTTTTTTTTTTTTTTTTTTTTTTTTTAGTACAGACAGGGTTTCACCATGTTGGCCAGGATGATCTCTCCATCTCTTGATCTCATGATCAGCCTGCCTCGGCCTCCCAAAGTACTGAGATTACAGGGGTGAGCCACCGTGCCCGGCCTAATATTTTCTATTTTTAGTAGAGACGAGGTCTCACCATGTTGGCCAGGCTGGTCCCAAACTCCTGACCTCAAGTGATCCACCTGCCTTGGCCTCCCAAAGAGCTGGGATTTCAGGCGTGAGCCACCGTGACTGGCCTGGAATAGTTGTTTCTACCACATTGGGTTACCTTCCTGAGGGTGTGCCATTGGCATCCGACCTGCAGATTGGGGTCTGAAACAGCAGTCCTGAAAGTGGTGGGGAGGAGCACAGAGGAGATGAACATGTTGAGTATGGGGACTCCGAGGGCGAGATCTGCCAGCTTCACACATTTACCTCCCTCGTGCCAGGCATTTAACATCGTCTCACTTAATTGGCACGGGATCCTTACGGGGTAGTATT